CGTAGAAAATAACATGCGCCAGTTTGTGATCGTTGGATATATTTATAAGATAAGGGGTCTAGATTAGGAGTGCTTTTTGACCATGATATTTAATTTAAAATAATAAAAATTGAATTATGTACAAACTATTTCTTCTATTATCCTTCCTTTTTGAAAGATTATGTTTAAAGAAATCTTCTAGACTTATTAAAAGCAATCTTTATATTTGTTCAAAATTTTAAAGAATGTAATTTGAGTTTTGCTAATTTGATGAATATTAAATTTATTTTGGAATTTAAAAATTATTAAGATAATTTATATGCTTTATTATTGATCCAATTTCAAGTTGCTTGTGTTATTAAAAGTAATGAATATTTAATATATTTATATAAATTTTTATATTACAATTGTTGGAATTATTATTGCAATGAAATATCTTCTCTTGATCTAGAATATATTAGATAGCTTCAAAATTTTTTCATTAATAAATAATCTTTAAATTATTTAATTAGAAGGGTGATTTAAAGTTTAATTAGAAATTTACTCATATTCTAATATTTTTATTTCCCATTTAAATTATTTATATTTTCACGCAATTTTTACTTCAAAAAAAAATTCCTTTTTTGAACATGACGATTTGTGAGACGGGAAGCGATTTATATTAAGATATTTTATGACTGATCGAAAGCCCTGGTTCTAGGCTACAAGATGATATGTATCCACCGAAATATTCTCTGATGTAGTATTTGTTATATTTAATTTGCTTATTTTGTTTATGTTTAGGTTTAATTTTTTTTTTTTTTTGCATTCCGTCAATGTAAATAATAGTCATGTTAGAAATTGAAAAATTTATTCCATCTTTATATAAATATATGTTTCAAGTCATTGAAGTAATATTAGTAATATTCAGTCATATAATTAAAGTGGTGTTGCATTAATTTCACCAGAGAGAGATATATCTATTATTAAATGTGTAAATATTTGAAATGGTAATTATCTAAACCAACGATTGCCATGTCATGTATATTCATGAAAATTTCCTTCAGGAATAAGTATAATTTTAAAATATTTTAGTTTATTTACCATCACAATTTTTATGAATCCAATTAACTTGTTAAAATAAAATCCTAACACTATAGGAATTCTTTATCACAATTATTTGAATCCAATTAAATAACTCAAAGTTTTTAACATTATTACAAAGTTCTACATATTATAAAATATTTTTAACAGTTATTTCGTCATTATTGATAGTTGATTTTCTAATTCTTTTTTTTTTGTAGAGACGAGAACATCGTTACCGTAAGATTGTTGAATGGACTTTAAAAGTTTGTTTCAATAATGACATTAAGTTCATCTCCATTTTAATCTATTTTATCCGTTTCAAAAAAGTTTTTATAAAATCAAGAATTTAATGCTATAATACTATATAATATTGAAGAAGATGCAAGAAAGTAGAAAAATGGTTAGAATGCAAAGGGCGAGTATTTGGAATTGTTTAATTGTTTTATGTGCTCGATTATTTGTATGCTTAATTATTTTAGTATTTTTAATTTTACTTTTGATAAATATTATGAATTAATTTTATCATTAAGAAATCAAAAAGTAGTATAATTGTTCTTGACGCGTAAATATAAAAATCATTTAATCATGATGAGATTAAGCGCTATTATACTGTATATGTTGTGCCTCAGCGTCAGATTAAAACTGGCCAAAATTAAGGTAAGATTAGGGTGAAATTAAAAGGATCAACATAGGCTGGTTTTATAATTCTGGTCAATGGGTGACACCTGACGTACTCTAACGATCTGAGGCACAACATTTAATAAACTATCAAATTAACTAATTATTTTTTACATGCATTTTTGATCCGCAAATAAATTCCTCACAAGAACTTTAACACTTAAAATAAATATTTATGCAGCTCGTTCAAAAAGAATAGGATCTCGAATTAAATTTATTTAGATATTTACGTTTGATGTTTATAGATATTATGAAAATATAAATTTTTTTTTTTTCATTTTTAAGATTTTCTAATAATTTTAAATTCATCATTATCAATAGAAAACCTATCTGATGGTATTTATCATAATTGGAACAATTATCACCGCGACTAACCTTCATCTAAATTAAAATTAAATTCACGACTATAAAAATAAAAACCATGTCCAAAAGATGGACCATAATAATTTTGACAACTTTTGCCTGAATTAAGAATTGCATATTGATTATTTTCTATTATGCTAAGAATTGAATCTTGATTATTATCATTTTATAATGAAAAAATGAAACCGTCATTAAATTTCTGCAGCGTGATCTTCAGAAATGATCGTTGAATCAGGTTCATTTGGTTCTATAATAAAAACTGATCTTGCTGGTAAAATGGTCGATTTAACTGGACGGTCGGGAACAAATGAATGCTGTATAATGTCTTCCCAAAGTTGTTTATCAAGAATTTTTTTATAAGGCCTGACTTTATCATAAATTTCAATATTTGTAAGATGAAAGTAACGAATAAATGGTAGGCATTGTTGTAAAGTAGTTTTCAACGTGAGAAAATTTCCATTCGTCCATTTTCCAAGGTTTGTAGGGAGAGTAGGATTCTGAGAAATTCCCCACTCGATATCATGGTCCTAAATTTCAACTTCTTTCATTTTCAAATCATCTCGTTTGAGAAGAGATATTAGTGCAGATTCCGAAAGAGAAGTAAAATCTAAATCAGTAATAAGATTTAAGATTTGGAGATTTGACTATAATATCATTACAAAAAATTTCTAAATCTTTAAAGTTTTGTTTATCAAAAATAGATTAGTAGACTAAAGAAAAATGTTTTTTCAACCAAGCCGTCTTATCTTCAATAAGAATAGTTTCAAGTTTTTTGGATAATTCCTCAAGTTCAAATTTATTAGCTGCTAACATTAAGTCAAGAATAAATCTGGATTCAACTTTCTCTAAGTTAACGATACCACCATAAATATATCTATATACATAAATTAAACAGCAATAATTAATAATTATACATATTTAATATTAATATAAAATAATTATAATGTAACTTACTTGAGAATAATATCAAAAATTTCATCAGAAATATTGGATTTTATTGTTTTGATATTGTCTCATCGGAGGTAATGTTATCTAATTCTTTACGAAAATAAAGTGATCGATAATTCAATACGCTCGAGTGAGCAGTATAAGTTTTCTTATCTTTAGCTTCGATAATTACATTGTGATTATCTTTGTCATTAAGGAGTTCAGTGAAATTTTGACATATTTATCAAAGAATTGAAATGACAATTTTCTTTTTTGTAGATTTGGTAAAATAGAAGTGAAATACATCTTTTTATTTGCATTTCTTATTGATGACGTGACAAAAGGCAAATGTTTGAACATTTTGAACGTTTGAAGGGACATTTTCTTTCAGTGTTGAGTTAAGGGGAATTATATAGATAATCAGAATGATAATCTCTAAATATAAAGATGACTAAAAATATTTAAATAATTTTCTTATTTGTAAATTCACCAAATCACTTTTTAGTTATCACTTTTTATGACTCATATTTAAAAAAATTCGAGCATCGAATCCATCTCTTGCTCATAAAATTAACTGAAACTCATAGTAGTGTTACGATCAATTAAATCATGGATGAAAAACATGAGCGGGCAATTCTAGAACTAGAACAGAGTTTTCAACTGATTTAATTGGTCATTCAGGATTTAAATAATACTGAACCAGAGTTGGTCATCAAGAATTTTCTTTGTAGGGTTCTACTTTGTCCAAAATATCCTTGCCAGAAAAATGGAAATATGCTGCAAGCATTGTTGTAGAGTAGCTTTCAAATCAAAAAATTCACCTTAGGAGGTTTGTGAGTGAAATAGATTCCGTCACTTGATTCCTAGACCTAGATTTTAGTTTTTTTTCCATTTGTAAATCATCCCTTTCGAGAAGAGATACCAAGGCAAATTTTGGAAGAGAAGTGAATCTGAATTATCAAAAATGAGATTCGGATACTTGGCTACAATATCATTACAAAATTTTCTAAATTTTTAATCTCATTTGACTGAGTAGTTTCTAGTAATAAGATTTCATTACATTGGAATGTGTTGTAAAAGATTTTTCCTTGATTTCAATTTATGATTACATTATAATCATCTTTACCATTAAATTTTTGAGATGACTTATTAGAAAACTTTAGAAACATTGTTCTTTTTATATATTTTCGAAAGTCAAAAAAAATAAAATGAAAGGGTTAAAAAAATTGGATACAATGGAATATTAATTAATGAAAACACAAGAAGCGAGTAAATGTTATCATTTTCCTTGTTCACTTCGTACACTTAAATGGTATTTTCAATGCAATATCAAGAATTATTAGTCAATTATTTGTGATGAAATATAAGTAATATACATTATGTCACTAGTCAAATGCAAAAGAATTGCTGTACCAAATGGTAATTCCTATACTATAGATCAGCTAAAAATTGGTAAAAATTGACTGTCCTATTGCATCCTATATTATAAATCAGCTAAAATCGGAATTCCTTTTTAGTGCAGCATATCTTTTGTATCTGACCTGTGTGTAATTGAATTGGAGGAATGTTAAAGGTAAAAATGTTATTATAGATATTAGTAGTTTCTAATGTTAGTATCATTGATGATGATTTTTACGATTCTCTGTAGAGATAAGGACATTGTTATTACTATAAAACTGTTAAATTAACTTTAAAAGTCTGCTCCAATAATGACATCATGTTCATCTCCATTTCAATCCATTTATCCATTTCAACAAGTACTATTAAATCAAATAAATTTAATTCTATAATAATATATCAAAAATGATTTAAAAAAGTAGAAATATTAAAAGAAAAGAGTGAGTTTGATTATTTTAGTATTTTTAATTTTATTATTAAGAAATCAATATAATTAATTCTTGGCATGTAAATACAATAACCCTCACTCACTTTTTAATCATACTGAAATAGTTTGTAGTATATGTATTTAATTCATTTTGATAAAGCTATCAAATTAACTTAATTGATGATCCACCAGTGAATGGAATTGCATGATCAAAATTAATAGTAAAATCTGGGAATAAGTATGATAATAAAATTTAATATTTTAAAATATTATATCAACTATTATTCATATTCCGCAACTATTGGATCCTTTCTGCCAATTATTAAACACTTATCACGTAACTTCTCATACAGATCCATTAGGAATTTTATAGAGATGTTCAATAAATATGAAATGTTGAAATAATGCACTAAAAATGTCAATTTTAGCACACTATAAATATGGAATATTTAATTAATACACTAGAATGTTACATTATAGTATGCTATAAATACAAAACATTCAAATAACATACTATAATGATGTATTTAGTATATTATTAATATAAAATGTTTAAATAATACACTAGAACATTACATTTTAGTATGTTAGTGCTGTTCAAATAATGCTATAGAATGGTGTTCATATAGCATTATAGAATGTTTTTATTTAATTCCTGATGTCATCATGAAAGAAAATTAACAAAAAGTAAAAAATGGAAAAATCAAATTCTGTAGAATGATTAATATGTGACAAGTATATTTAAATATTGCAGTTATAGACTTTAAAGAAAAAATATTTAAAATGGAAATATTTATGATATCACTAGGGATATAAAAGTCCTGAACTGGTCCAGTTCTGATCCTGAGCCACTTGATCCTAGAATAAAGACAATCAAACCTGGTCCTGTAAGACTGGTCCTAGCACTAGTCAAATATAAAAGAATCACTATACCAAATGGTAATTCCTATACTATTGATTAGCTAAAAATCAGTAATAACAATTGACTGTCCTATTGCATCCTATATTATAAATCAGCTAAAATTGGAATTCCTTTTCAGTATGGCATATATTTTGTATTTGACCTGGTTTTTATATAAAATTTATTAAAGTTCACCAGTAGTAATTGTTACCACTGAACAATATTAAATTAGAAGTTGATCAGAAAATTATATAATTTTACCTGGTAATCAAGTTACCATATGATATAAAGAACTTGGTTCTAATCAAATTATCACATAATATAAACAACCTGATTCTAACAAGTCCTGAATTTCCAAGGACAGATCAGTTAGTTGAGATTCTAAAGACCAGGTCCTCAAGTCTAGACCAGAGGGCCATCTCATTCCTAGATACTACATGTAATAATTCTCTTGTTACTTTAAGAATGGCATTTCAAGTTTAATTACTATTTGAAATAGAAATTAGACCAGAACTAATAAATGAATTATCAAATGAAACTCAATTATTTGATAAAAATCAATATATTAGTGATATATTTTTAATATTCCAAAAAACTATATATAATTTATTAGATTTTAAAAAAATAAATAATGAATTAATTTACAATACAGATTTTGATGCAGAAACTATTAAACAAGCTATTCTACTTAAATTAGATTATAGATGTCTTGGCCTATTGTCCAACATTGTAATCTTAGAACCAGGAGCAAATTCAAAATTGGATAAAGAAATTTTTAATATTACATAAATATGTATGTATATAATTTTATATTAAAAGGCCATTCATTTCTAAATATTGTAACAGATGAAATTATATTTAGAAGGTTGATCAAATATTATGAAAAATGGTCAAATATCAAACTGATTTTGAGTCAATGGTATACCTCAAAAGATTTTTGTTCAGTTTTAATATTTTTTTCAAGTTATAGATTATTAAGTTTGATATCACAATTGAATATTTATTTTTTGGATAAATTTGAATCTGCAGTAGATTATTGATCAACTGTACATGTATTAGATCTTTTGTGAGTAGCAGTTGGAATATATGTTAAAATATATGTCTTTACTACAGACTTATATGTAGTTACAAGAATTTTGTATAATAACTGGTTTAAGTAATAAATTGTATTACATATATTGAAATTGATTTACTAATAGCTATAAGACTAATAGATAATAAGTCAAATAATAAATAAATAAAATATATAAATACTAATACTAAATAAAAATTAATAATAGTTATAAAGATAATAATAGAAATAAAAAAAAGAAAAGCAGGGTAACAATACATTAAAAATTATATAATTAATAAATATGTTTGTTTTTGATATCTTTATTATTATTGCTAATAAAAAGAGACAATTATTCAAATTAATTAAATTAATTAATAATTGTCTAGGGTATGATATGAACTATTTTATATCATACTTTAAAAAGTATTATGGAAGAATGGAAAAGATTTCCTTTAAGAATAAGAAGGCTTTATTACATATCCAGCCCAATGAAACATCAAGGCAATAACTTAATCATATAAAAGATCCTTTACAATAATTAATTAATAAAAAGAAAACAAATTACTATCATCTATATTGTTTATTTAGTTCATTCGGTCAAGGTAAATTGGATAATTTTGATTATTATCATCCTAAAATTTATAGAAGTTATATGGCAATATGTTTTAATTATATAAGATTTACTAAAATTAATAATAAAATAAAATCTAAAAAATCTTATAATTTCTCTTATCAAAAATTTATTGAAATTGTTGAAACCCAAAATTTAATAAATAATTATTAGAAAATTGAATGTAATAATCCTATTACTGATTGTATTGATAAAAATCCTTATAAAAATTATTATTAGTAGTTTAATGATATTTATTTTATGTTTCAATATTTCTTAAAGGTTGATATCTTTAATTTTTTCTATTTCAAATTTTATACATATAAACTTTTTGCACATAATATAATAAATAAATGTTTTGTTCTAAATATAATTCAATTATAAATAGACTTTCAAAAAGTATAATTCATAGGGCATTGTTACTAGTCAACCTTTTGGACTTATTTTATTTTACAAAAGGAGTTTTACAATATTAGTGATTATATTAATGTAGGGGGTTTCAAAATATATCATAATATTAGATTTCAAAGGTCATCAGTTGTGTTGCAAACCTCCATCAGTAATATTATTAATTTGAAAACCTTCGAAATTATATTGCAATATTAGATTTCGAAGGTTATCGATTGTGTCGCAACCCTTCAAAATTGAAATTTAACAGTTAAATTTCGATATGTATTATTTCATTATCGAAAACCTTCGAAGTTCAATACTAAATTTTTTAACGATAATGTAAACTTTCGAAATTTAACAGCTAGTATTTTAACATATTTTGTTTCAGGTTTATCGTTTTCGGATTACTTCGAATTTAATCGTTTTCATTATAATTCAATATATATTGTGGAAAATTTTATTTCATAATATTTTATTACTTTCTGAATTTTTACATAATCTATTATTTAAAATCTTTCAGATCACCTGATGCTAATGTTTAGATTACCTATATATTTAATTATTAATTAATTAAAACGATCAGGTGACTGTACATGAGATTTGCGAACCATTTAATTATTAATTAATTAAAATGATCAGGTAACTGTACATGAGATCTGCGAACCATCTATTATTTAAAATCTTTCAGATCACCTGATACTAACATTTAGATTACCCATATATTTAATTATTAATTAATTAAAACAATCAGGTGACTGTACATGAGATCTGTGAACCATTTAATTAATAATTAATTAAAACGATCAGGTGACTGTACATGAGATCTGCAAACCATTCTATTTAAAATCTTTAGGATCACGTGTTTATATGTATGGTGACACTTTAAATGTTTCAGATCACTTGTCTATATGTATGGTGACGTTTTGTGTAATATTTAATAAATTTTTTATTCTTAAAAAATAATAATTCCATTTATTCTTATTCCATTTTATACCTAAAAATAATATTCTGTTTATATTCTTAAAAAATAATAATTCCGTTTATATTCTTAAAAAATAATAATTCCGTTATTTTTTTTTTTATTTTAAATAATAGATAGATAATCGATAATAATAATAATTCCGTTATAAATTTTATTCTTAAATAA